ATTTTATACCATAATCAGAACATATGTTGAGCAGCTCTTGAAACCCAGCACTGCTAGGCGAAACAATTGCCAAATCATCGGCATACATAAGATGATTAATAAGTACACTACCAACCATACAACCTGTTTTACAGCTTCTTAACTGGACTGAAAGATCATTCATATAAATATTAAAGAGGCATGGTGACAAAAGCCCCCCCTGTCGAATGCCATTACTTGTCCCAAATGGAGCAGAGACAGCATTTCCCCATTTAATCTGCATGCTCTGGTTTGAGTACCAATAAGACAGGATCCTTATAAAACTGTCAGGCACTCCCCTCTGATGTAATTTTAAAAACAATTTAGAATGATTTATACGGTCAAATGCCTTTGATGCATCTATGAAACCAATTAAAACAGTAGAGTTCTGTCTTCTATATTTTTCCACCATTTCCTTCAGTGCATAGATACATAAATCAGTACTAAGTTTAGCCTTAAAGCCAAACTGGTTATCAGAGGTGCATAGATATACAGATAATCTGTGTAGTAAAATTCTCTCCAAAACTTTGGACAACACACTGGCTAGAGCAATTGGCCGATAATTATCAATACTCCCCACCCTGTCCACTTTGTCCTTGATGATAGGCACCAAAGTAATGGACAACATAGAGTCTGGTAACACACCATGACTCATGAAACATGTAAAACAAATAGCAAGGAGAACCACTGCCCTTGGGCTTGCCAGCTTAAGGTGCTCTGCAGACATTTCATCTGAGCCACATGCTTTATTATCAGCTAACTCTGAGATGGCTTGAAAAACTTCCTTAGCTGTGATTTGCATAGTGTCAGAATTGACAATCTCACCCACTATGTAGGGGTCACTCTTAACACAATTAAGTAATGCAGAGTAATGTTTCCTCCACAGCTCAAGTATGTTACCATATATATATATACATATGTGTATATATATATATATATATATATATATATATGGATGTATATATATATATATGGATGTATATAATGATGAGGGTATGTGACAGAGGTAGTAATGTAAAGAACATATTTAGGCCACAAAATAAAGTGCATGAACATCAATGTCAGAGGCCTCATGTCCAAACCAACCATATATTCCAGACGGTGCTCTGCAGCCTGTGCAGAAACTGTTCATCACCAACACAACCACAAACAAGGCAAAACTCATCCAGTAAAACAAAAGTAACTGACAGTAAACAACCGGACACCGCAGCGGGTGCATCAGCATTTTAACCTGCCACTTCCCCTAGGATTAGTCACCAGCAAACAACACAAACATTTTCACAGCTCCACAGCGGCTGCAGCCACAAACATACACACACACGCAGCACGTCTTGCCAGTAAATCTGAATGACTTACTGTCCTCCTCGGTGCCCATGGTTTCAGTAAAAATGAACTGAACCGAGCTAACAATGTGTAGCATCTCCATATTGAGAAAAATTTAAACATTTATATTTGTATGTGTGATATATAAGCAAGTGGGTGGTCAACAATCCATTGTTATACTTCCAAAGAACCTCTATAAAAATGGACTGCTTGGCAACCAGACCAGGCCTCTAATTGAGACAGGCCTTTATTTGTCAAAATGTGTAGCCACATTGGGCTAGTAAAAGGGACTGGGTGTTTAATTGGGACGAGGCTTTTAATTAAAGTTTTACAGTAATACTGGTGGTTTCAGTTCAGCAATAGATTGTAAATTAGTGATACAAGGAACATATTTCATGTAATGTTTGATGTATTTTATGAGCATATTTTCAGCAATAGCCTCAACAATGTATATTCATTTTTTCCTAAAACATTCTGTTAATTCCAAACCTTTTCCAGACCTGGAAGCAGCTTTTCTAATTTCATAACTTTCCAGAAATTTCATGACTATTGGACCCTGTAATTGAGATATCCTCCCTTTGAGCAACACTTACAAGAAATATTCAACTCATGCTGTTTGTGCTGATCCTGTTTGTGTTTTGTATTTATGTTCCTAGTTTTTACAAACACATTTGTTGTGAGTGGTTTGCGATGCTCTGCAGTCTGAACTACCTTTACATTCCCCGGAAGTTCCTCTCGTGCACACAGAATGTAAGTAACGCAGGGTGATAGTTCAGTGATGGCTGATAAGTGATTTTACTATTTCACTGTTGATCTGTATGGAAAACTGTCATAACAGAATAAAGTAAGTCATTAAGTAATATCCATAATGACATGATCATGATTAAAGGAGTATTAGTAACCCAGGCACAGGGCGAAACCTCCAGTGCTAATTATCCCAATGTCCTGGCTCTGCAAAAACGCACTGCAAGTCAAATAAGTGTCAGCTCATTTAATTCCAAGAGGAAATGTTGCCGTTCCCACAGAAAGCATTGTTGAGCTGCTCCTGTTATCCCCCTGTTGTTTTTCACACCTTTCAGCCAAATATGACGTGCAAGCATTCAGTAGCCGGCCTGTAAAGATGTGATTATCAGAGTGGTGTTGTGCTTGGTGTTTTTCCAGTGCACTGCTTTCATTTGTGCTGAAGAAAGTCTGCTGAACATGACTACAGGCTGTTTCTATCAATACTTGTCATTATTTTACATTAGGTGTGGGTTTGGTGCATTGAATATTGATTTCAGACAGAAACATAATACATAAAGTGTTTCAGAGAAAGGCGGTTTTAACAAAATGGACATTTAATAAGTTAACACAAAAAGGAACACAGAAGTTTTGGCATGTGTTGGCAAATAAATAAAACTTGAAATTTGATTTAATTCAGGAACTAAGTGATTTAGTCAACAAATTATGAATCTGACCAGACATTAGATGCCAGGCTGACACATTTCTGTCAGTATGAAAAACATGAAGAGGTTAGATAAACAGCCATGTTTGTGACATGAGACACTTATTATCATGCAAACACTAATCCTGCTGACAGGATTAAGTGTCTATTAAATAGACACTTCAAGTTCACCTGCATTGTAATGGATGCAGTGGCATTGCATTTTGCAAGTTATTGGTCACGTTATTGAAGTTAAGTCAGTTAATTTCTTGCATTAACCTTTCAAAACACAAGTATTAATTAGCTTGTGTGTTCACAAAGGGCTGGATAATAATTTGTCAACTTACCACATTATAATACAGACCTGAATGTATCCAATAAATGTCTATAAAGTCAAAATAGCTACAATAAGCAAGCAAGAAGTAATTCGACCAACCTATCATCCAACAGCCCGATATCTCTGACTCGTCGGATTGGACAATGACTCTTTTTATACCTGGTATTAACATGTGTTGAGAGCGATCCGATTACAAGCAGACAGCCCTGAAATCAAGTGTAAACGACCACCAAGACGCATCAAGATCAGATCACTCGAAACACTCGCCGAGGTGATGTGGGATGCATTTGACCACATATCTTTTGTAGTGTAAACGCTAATGCATTCTGATGCGCCGATAGTGTCCTCGTCCTCAGTCTCAGCCCCTTAACCCTCCACAGCTCCAGTCTCTCACCCAATATGGTCACTTCTGGCTCCAAAAAAACACAAGATGGTGACGTCCACGGTGCTAAACTCGAGGCTTCAAAATGGCATCATGGAAGCTACGTCCATTATCAAGAGACTGGCTCCCAGTATGTTTTAGAATACATTTTAAGATTTTATTGATTACATTTAAGGCTCTTCATGGTCTCTCTCCCAGCTATATGTCAGACCTCTTAGTGCCATACACGCCAGGACATACTTTGAGGTCCTTGGACAGAGGTCTTTGTCTGTTCCAGAGGCCCGGCTGAAAACTTAAGGGGACAGAGCGTTTGCCGCCAGGGTCTCGAGGCTCTGGAAAAGTCTGCCTGAGAAAATTAGGTCGGCTGAGTCAGAGATATCTTTTAAGTCCCTTTTTAAAACATACTTTTATCTGGGAGCCTTTCCTGATTTTACTTGGGTTTTAAGTTCATTTAGACTGTCTTTTATTTCCTCAGTTTTTATACACTAAAGTTTTTATCAGTTCTTTTTAAAATGTGTTGTTTTTATGTATTGTCTGTTTCTATTATTGACATGTAGAGCACTTTGTAATTATAACTGATAACACGACATTGCCTTCTCTAAAGCCTCACAACTGCATGGCTAAAAGTATTATTGTATACATTTTATAAGACATAAGACAAGACGTTTTTAGCTAGATGTTTGCATATTTAAAAACATCTCTCTATCATTGAGATTCCTCTCACAGCAGTTGGCAGTGGGGAGTTTTATATGCAGCCCTGTGCTTTATTGATAGCTCGGTTATGAGCCTCAGATTCAATATAAAATGATAAAGAAGACATTTACAGGCATCGTTGTAGTCTTGTGTTGGTTTATGCACATGTCATTGATGTATCTTTTCATATAAAACTGTCTCTTTAATGCTCCAGACTAGTTGATGTGTATGTTATGAACGCTTCAGGGAGCAGCAGAGCTGAATAAGACAGTAATTGTTTGACTTAATCCAGCATGGGGATTTTTTTTTCTTAAAGCTTTTCACATACTGTATCCACTGTTTGACTTGCCCTCTCCTTTTTTTATCTCTCCCATTCAGATGCAAGTTTTTCAGTTTGACAGAGACTCCAGAGGACTACACCATAATCGTCGATGAGGAAGGCTTTAAAGGTGGGCCTCTCTTTGTGGATCTTTAAAGTCGCTGTGGCAACCATAGATCGGGCGGCAGGAAAAGATCACATTGTGTAATCTGTGATTCTCTCCAGCACCACGTAGCTTCAGCTGCCAATGTTTGAGCACACTTTGTCATTATGGATGTGAGGCCAAGCTGCTAGTCGTCGTGTTTTGTGGTTGGCTGATTGAGTGAATTCATGTCATTACACACCCTTTCCCTGGGTGACCCTCCTTGGTTACCCTGGAGACTACAGGCTATTTGTTGCATAACTGGCACAGGTATTTTCTACTGGTGACTGTCTCTGAGTGTGTAGGTGCCTGTTTTCTGTCCAGCTTAAACTATGAAACTAAAGCAAGCAATGATAAATACATTTTTAAACCTGCTGGGAGACACTGAAAATATATTTTTCTGACCTTTTATGAGGACAGAATATATCCATATGAATTTTAATAAGAGATGATTAAGCACTGATAGTGCCTGAGAATTATTACACCATCCAGTCCACTGACAGTAACTTATTGAGGCGTGCAGTAAATGTCAGTCTGTGGTTTGTATTATTAAATATCCTGCTTAACCTACTGTATGTTAATGGTTGCTGATTAACTGAACTAAACTGAAGCAGAGTTTGGCTATCTTCCTCGCTGTCTGTACCAAAGAGTAGCTAGAAAGTGATGAGGGCTTACTCCACAGCAAAATCTGGTGACCAAAATATCACCAGAAGTACATTGCACAGCACACTGACCAGCCAAAAAACAAAGACTTGAAGCAATCTCAGTCAAGTGACATTTTGAGTCTCTGATTTTCAGTAGGGAAGCCCTACTGTAGCGTATAGTCTAGTGCCAGGTACACACTACACAATACCAGCACGATTATAGCCCGACACAACATGACACTGTGTCAGGCTATAATCTGTCATGTCTGTCGGCCAAGTCACGACACGATTTTATGACCCCACAATGGCCTAATCTGACATAGTGACCGTTGTGACAGACAAAAATGGCGTGTAGTGTGAGCCTGGCATAAAGCAGTGTTTCCCAACTGGTGGGTCACGGTCCAATAGTGGGTCACGGGTCCATTCTGAATGGACTGCGAGCGACAATCTTTATTTTGAAATCCCGTGGTTTTGTTTTTTAGGCCGTGTCCAACTCCACTTTAGTTTGCATAATCTGGGTGCAAAGTCAAGTGCAAGGGTTAGAGTGGTTGTATTTAGTCCCCCATTTAATCATAGAAGTGTTTTGGGTGTCATCATGAATTCAACCAATCAGAGTGTCATCTCCCATTCTCTTTAAAGCTCAGGTGTGCGTACACCTGGCACACTGCTATTGACATAGCGGATTCAGCAAATTGGTGAAGCGAGTGGTTTTCCGCCAAAGGTATTACAGTATATATGATATTTAAAATAATGTAATATAATCTTTATTTATAAAGCACTTCTCTAAACAGCATCACTAAGTGCTTCACAAGGCAGCAGAATAAAAAGGTCAAGTTATAAAATCAACAGGCCTGATTTCCTCCAGTAGATGTTCCAGTGCCTTGTGGCCCGAACTGTTGAAGTGCAGTCCCCTCCAGTTTTCGTCTGGGCCTCTGAAACAGACAAAGAGCAGTAATGTCACTGCAGCAAATATTGTGGGACATTTGAGGAGCAACACTAAAAACTGTAGTTTTAAACTTGGCAAAGGAAACAGAACTAAACTTTCAGCTTCCGAAATTATCAATAAAGTTACTCCTTGTGCATAAATGCAGAGAGTGTCTCTCTTAACGGGGCATCATACAGACGCTCTGCATCTCTGCTCTGCTCTCTGCTACATTCACATTTTACAGAATGTCATTATTATTTTCCTCATGAATGATGTGTTATTTCACCCATGCACAACCCACCCACACGTCCCTGTGTGTAACAAGCAGAGTATAAGCATGTTGTTAACCTGCCTATGCAGGTGCATCTTACTGTCTGAATCTATCTGAATAATGCAAGAAAATACTCTGCCATGATGTTGGTCAATGCACTTGCTTTCTGCTGCCTCAAAATAGCGACACGCCAACAATGTGCCTGACCACACCTCATTTTGAGATCCACACATCGATGAATGCACAGATGGGCGCAAACTGTGTTGGCACTGGCCGTGACAATGACAACTGCGTCAGTCTGAAACTAACAGTGACAGTTGCTGTGCGCTGGGTGTAAGATAGGGCCATATAAATAGATTTATAATCAGTTTTAGGGCTGCAAATAACAATTGTTTTATTATTTAGTCAGTGAAACGTCAAGAAGTAGTTGTACAACCTCACAGAGCCAAAAGGAAAGTTCTTAAATTGCTTGTTTTATTTGTCCCACAGTCCAAAACCCACAAATATTTCAATTACTATCATATTTGAGAAGCTAGAACCAGCAAATATTTGGCATTTTGTGCTTGAAAACTGACTGAAATAAACTGTACATTTTCTTTGGATCACCTAATTGATGAAACGACTAATTATGGCAGCCCTAATCACTATTGTGATCATAGTTTTAAAGCATAACCTGTGAGAACAGTAGCTCAAGAAGAGTCATGAAACTGACTCAGTGATGTCTAAGATTAGCCACCATGAGCTAGTGGTCATACTCAACCACGTAGGTTTGACTGTACTGAATTGAGCGATGGTGAATTCACTTTGTTAGAGAAACATTGTGCTACCTCTGCCTCATTATTTCAACATTATGGATGGAGGGCAGGCTGAACTCACATCTCAAATATCCTTGACTCTTTCTTAATGAGCTGATTTTTAAGTGACTTCAAAATGTAAATCCAAATGGGGGGTAGGTACGACTGTCTAGACTGGAATTAGGACAGGACAGGGGGAAAAGCACAGTCTGCTCTAACACAGGGAGTGGAGGGCGGAGCCTGAGAATAATATTGTATAATGCCAGATAATAAAAAGGCATTGGCAATAGCACTCAATATAGAAAAAGGAAAAAAGTATGTGTATAAAAGATGGAAATCGGGAACTAGAACACATAAAAAATCAGAAACAACCATTAGTCATGCTCATAGCTCACCCTAACTTCCCAGTTTCTATTCTATTTATTCCAAACTGGTGTTGAAAAAATGTATTATTACATCTAGTTTTGTTTTGGGGGATGGCAAAAGACCTCGAGTCAGATATAGAACTCTCCAGTTACCCAAAGATGGAGGCGGCATGGGTCTTCCAAAATTGATGGAGTACTTTTATGCTGCTCAATTGAGACCCATATATTGTTGTTGTGATTCAGAATTTAAAGCAAAATGGAAAGATATAGAAAAAGAAAGAAACCAATTTTCAGTTCAAAGTATGATTGGAGATAATAAACTATACAAGGAACTAAAATTTAATATGGATCCAATAAAAGCACACACATTAGATCTGTGGTCTATAGTATTGAAAAAGACGTTTTATTACTAAAACTGAAACTTGAAACCATTTTGTTAGTGGAAGTGTGTGTAAAAAGCTTCCCCTTTGAAAATAACTAAAATAAAGGGGAGATTTCCGTCCTACGTCAGTATCGTAGATTAGCAAATGTACACAGTATGATAACCGTCAACTTTTATATGATGGTATACCTTGAAACCGGTACATCGCTGCAACCCTAGCATACAGCATTGGTTTAGTGAAAGAATTAAGTCCTTTGATTCTGCTTAACCTGGTGTGAAGTCTAATTACCTCGCTTAATAAGTCCTAAATCTCTTCTCAGGATTTTCTGGTTCATTTTGTGACAGAAGTGCTGCAGATGTGAACTTCCACTCCCGCTCTTTTTGACTTTACTGTTTCTGTCCGTTCGCAGAGCTGCCCCAGTCAGAGCACATCAGTGTTGCTGATGCCACATGGTTGGCCCTTAACGTGGTGTCAGGGGGCGGCAACGCCTCCAACTCGCAACCCATCGGAGTCACCAAAATCGCTAAATCGGTCATTGCACCGCTGGCCGACCACAACATCTCTGTATTCATGCTGTCAACGTATCAGACGGACTTCATTCTGGTGAGTGTGGATATTAATAATATGCCAGATATTGTACCATTTCAGCAGTAACGCTGGCAAATATAAATGTTTTCTTTGTGTGTGTGAAGGTAATGTAACACAGAAATGTCAAACCCTGCTACTGACAATGAAAACTATGATGTGTTTAGAAGCTATTATAGAATGTAAAAACTTTGAAAGGCTGTCGTAGGAAATGCCAACCAAAAAGAGAAAATAATCCCTTCTATAGTAAAAAAAATAAATAAATAATCCTTTAATTTTTTTGGAGAGGGGGTTAAAATTTATTAGATTATTTTAGCCCAGACTCAATTTAAAGTCCCAGTGAAATGGAAGTTAGAGCATCTTTAACTTCTATACCGTGATGTATTTCCTAGTGAAAGGAATATTTGCACCTAGTGTACAAGCAAGGCCCCAGAAACAGCACGCTTTGAAGCCAATTTTACATAGTGACCAAACATGAAATTACAACTTCCCTGTCCATCAAAAGATGCCACTGGGCCCAAAAAAACTTTTTCCCAAAGGCTTACATTGTGAATGAGATGTCACAACCCCCTATGAAATGACTCATTTCACAATCTAGATTTGATCCATTTGGTCCAATAACATTTGGGAAGTCTAGAAGAGCCACACGATTAAATCATTTTATCTCCAGTCAAGTTAGCAGAGTGCTAAACTGAAGGTAGTCGGCTGGGCCGGCAGAAGTCTCTAGCGCACCTGCTCTATGGGCAACACAGTGTGGAAGGAGTGCAGATCATCTGGATAACTTTATACTCAGTAGTTGAACTTTTTTTGGCTTTATGTACCACTTAGCAACTTTTATAAGAATAAACGGGGCTCCACCTCCAACGCCATACAGTTCTCTCTGTACATCCATGCCTAAGTTTAAAGGGCCCCCTCGTACCATTACTAAGAGCCACACGCTTGAATTATTTTTATTACCAATAACATTAGCGGAGGGCTAGACCAGATGTAAGTCGCTTGGTCGGCAGAAGTTTCTAGTGTGCTTGGTTTACAGGCCACACAATCAAGAAGATCATTTCATACTGCAGAAATTGAGGTTTTTTGGGCTTCATGCCACAAAAGGCATGCAAAAACTGTTTTCCAGGCCTAGAAATGCTTTGGAAATTTTTTTAATATACATTGTTTTATGTATATATGTTATATGTTGGACAGCATGGTGCTGTAGTGGTTAGCACTGTTGCCTCACAGCAAGAGGGTTCCTGGTTCGATCCCGGGTGTGGGAGCCCTTCTGTGCAGAGTTTGCATGTTCTCCCCGTGTCAGCGTGGGTTTTCTCCAGGTACCCCAGCTTCCTCCCACAGTCCAAAGACATGCAGGTTAACTGGTGACTCTAAATTGTCTGTAGGTGTGAATGTGAGTGTGAATGTGAGTATGAATGGTTGTCCGTCTCTGGTTGTCAGCCCTGTGATAGTCTGGTGACCTGTCCAGGGTGAAGTCTGCCCCTCGCCCAATGTCAGCTGGGATAGGCTCCAGCCCCACTGCGGCCTCAAGAGGATAAGCGGTTAGAAAATGGATGGATGTTATATGTTCATATAAACCCATTATATGGCTAACATTTCATGAAATATATACCTAGCACTACTAATTTAAAATCTAGTGCTTGCTGTGCTGTGTTTCCTTTGAAACAACACCAGTATCATGCAGTATCAAGTCTAAAAAGACATTACGGCAGTCAGCGTCAATGTATTTAGGCACTGCATGCGCTCAGTTTGAGGTAAGGTCGCAAAGCAATTTAGGCATGTCAAAGAATTTTTGATTAACAACAAATAAATGCACACAAACTTTTCAAAATCATAATTCAAACAAACGTCAAATTGCACTGAAATCAATATGATCTTTGGTTTTCACTTACCCAAGAAGGGGTTTGGCCCTGATGTTTTTGGAAGTACCCATATGTGCTGTCCAGTCTTTTGGCAATGCACATATGCAGCCAGTTGGCAGCGGGAATATCTAATGTGTGAGTAAAGTCATTAAGGGCTGTATGGTTATGTTGCTATAAAGGCCTACCTATCTTAAACTACCTAGAAAAAGTCATGGAAATGTGGTAAAATATCATGGAAAAGTTATGGTAAAGTTTAGAAAATTCATTGGTAAAAATGAGTGGAAATCCTGATAAAAGCTTAAAGAATTTATTTTTCATTTCACTGGGTCTTTATAAACAAAATAAGGCTGGTTAATTTGCACAAATAGAAGAAATAACAGATATTTAAGTACAAAATATAAACTGACAGTAAAGTTGTTTTTTGTCATTGAACATTTGCTGATCATTTGTGTTTAAGAGACGATTATTGATCAGGTTCGCGTGCTTCAAGAGCTGCATTATTTGTCTCTTATGCAACCACCAGGAACACAATTGTCTACATCCACAGTGCCTGACGTGAAAAAGCAATAACCTTGGATATAGTGTACCTCTCACAGGCCCACTTCCTTTTGATTTAGGAAGAAATCCTCTCTCATACCGAAGCCTTTCTGGCCACAGGGAGTGTTTTTTTATTGCCTTCTTTAGTGGAAAAACAAGGTCTGCTGAGCGGCTCTGGCATGTTTATGAAAATGAAAGAAAAAAAACCTGTGTCGATGTTGATAATCTGTTACATAAAGGGGATCAGCGGCTCAGCCTCTTGCTGGAATTCCAGGTATCATACCCAGGCCTGTTTCCTGTCTCCACACTGGCTACTCCTAGCCACAATCCTAATTATTGGTATATCAGATCACAAGAGGCCAAAAAAAAAGAAACCCTGCTGCGTTCACCCTGTCGCCCACACCCACCACACATCATCTCTCTGTCCTTGTCTCACGCTGTGTTGGATTGCATTACTGAATCTCTGAGCAGACCAAAAGACAGACCAGCTTAAGATGTGGGTTTTTTTTGCTTTCACTGTTAGGATCTTTTGTGTTACATAAAGCAGTAAAGCCTGACCCAAATGTTGAATATGCTCATTTAGACTGAGCCACGACTATCCTGACTAAGTCAAGCCACTCAAAGCAGCTTCTCACAAGGACCTTCACCTTCACACACACGCAGAAATCCAATTGACGTAATAGCTGACACCCACAGTGAGGAAAAGAAACAGAGTTCACCTTTGTATCAGAGACAACATAGAACACACACCAAGGGAGAATTGTCCTATCAAAACACTCAGCTCCATTATGTTTGATAGTTTAGTCTGCAAGACAACTAAATAAAGAATATAGGTTATATCATGTTAAAGCAATTTACAGTAACTCTTTTAGTATTTGAAATGTTGCTGGAATCCATTTCATGTCATTTAATGGCATATAAAACAAATCAAATACAATTATTATAACCCTAAAGGACAATATCACTCTAACAAACATAAAATTTACATTTATATTTGGGTTAATTTTCTTTTTGATGTTATTGTTTGTTTTCTTTGCCCCATTTCAAATCATATTCCAAAGTTTCCTTTCAACCAACGCCCCTCTCTTCAACAAGATGTCTCCAAAACTAATAACTTCATTCCCATGAATCTAGCTGTAGATATTTATGGTTGCCCAAAGGTGATTTTTAAAGGGATACTTCAGATATTTTTTAAGTGGGGTCGTATGAGGTACTTCCATTGTCAGTCAGTGCGTTTACATGACATTAGAGAAAATCGATTTATTGTGACAGCCTGACTAAAACCTGACTTTTAAAATACACGTAAACATGTTAGTCCGACTGACATCGTACTAAATCTAATTTCTCAAAGTTGGACTAACACACCCTGATAACGCGATTTGGAGTTGAATTACTCCTGCATGTATACAGTCAGTTAGACCCAAAATTGGCACTTGATCCTCAGTGTCCGCCCTGGGCTTTGACCCAGAAGTCAAATAGCTTTAAATGTGTAACAGAAGAAGAAGAAGCCGGTCACAACAACAAGAAGCATGCTTTTTTTGGAAGAACGAAATATACAGAGCTGTGTAGTAGTCCACCTTGGTACCAGTTTGCTGGAGCTGGTTGTCTGAATAAGAGGAAAACAGTAGCTTAAGTGACAGGAAACACCTTTAATGTGTATCGGAAAGCTGTAGGTGTGTCAACTGATACTGCTTGTTTGTCAGACACTATAAATTGTCATGATGTACCAATTCATTGGCTTTCTTGTGAGCAAACCCTCAAATGTCCAATCCTTAATCCAATTTATTTATTGGTCTCTTTTTTCTACAACACTTGCTAATCATAGCTAACGTGTTTGTCGATTGTTTGGTCTGTGACATAAAAGGTCCAATACTAACAACAATACTAACAAACTGAAAGGCGGCATATCGTCACCTATCGTAGTGGAGTCAGACATACTTCAGTCAGTAAATCGATTCCCCTCCTGTGCTTGTATAATGGGACAAGGACAGTAGTCCAATTAAATGGCCTAGTCAAGCTCCAACTGTAGCTCAATTTAACTGTGCATGTAAATGTACTGAGTGTATTACATAGGCCTCTAGTTTCGCAGACCGGGCGAGGTGGAGACGCAGCGCACCTGCGCTTTGCCAACTGGGTGTGGCCAGGCGGATTTTGCAAGTTTGGCACACCGTGCGCCTGGCGCAGCTACTCCTCTTTCCCACCTCTGTCCCTCCTACCTGCACAAGTCGGAAAGAGGGAGGAGAGAAGGCGTGGAGTGGGTTTTACACACATCACACCAATCAAATGAGCCCCTCTCCTCGCCCTTAAATGCGCCGCGCGAAGGCGTAATGAGAGTTTACTCAATTCGCCATGGCAGAAGAGAGCAGCAGAGTCAGACGGCCAAACTTCTCCCAGGAGGAAACTGATGTTTTGGTCCGGGAGGTCCAAGCTCGCAGTGTCCGAATATACGGAACTGCAAGCAGACCTCCACGGGCTGATGATGCAAAGGTCGCCTGGGAGGAGGTCACCACAATTGTAAATCAATGTTGCGTTTCTCTCGTGCGCGCGTGCTCTCTTTCTCTCTCGCAGTCTCACTCTGTTTCTTTTCTTTTGACTTTTCTAAGATGACAGATGCTGAATATATACTCCCTATCTGATGCTGTGGCTGTTTGTGGTTGGCTGAGAGGGATGTGAACTCAGTTTGCAGCTGTGTTAATCAAATCAGGTTGGGTTTCCATTACGCGTGCCAAACGTGCCAAACGGTGCCAATCCCCTTTGATCTGACATCAGATGTGACGGGACAGTCGATATAGAGATACATTTATGTGCTGATTGCAGATAGTTGCATTGAATAGTGGTTTTGTGGGTATTTATTGCATTAATAATGTGCCTGACATTCTGGAAACCTGCCTGCGAGGTTTTGGTGACGTGTGCGCACTGTCCGCCAGTCAGCCAAACTTCCTCTACACGGGCTGCGCTCTGCCTGCGCTGACAGTAGACCTGATTTCAGCTGGCGAGCTTTTAGCGCACCTTTGGCGAAGCCTTTTGGCGCGAAACTGTCACTGCGCCAAGCTGGATCTGTCGACACCTCCCCCTGCTGCGCCGCCACACCCATCTCAGCGCACCTCGGTCTGCCAAACTACCAAACTGAGCGCGCTTCAGGTTGCGCTGCTTGAAACTAGCTCTGCGCGGGGTTCACCACCCTGCACCACCCTGCGCCACCCTGCACCGTGCTGGGAAACTAGAGCCCATACAGTAGATGTCTGTCAGCACACCTCCAGTTTGGAGAGGCAGGCAGGAGTCTAAAGCAGAGGCTAAGTAATGTGCAGCTGTACAACTAAATGAAATCTAAATTAAAACCTCTCCTGATTTCCTCTGACTAAGTTCTCTCCTGTACTTTTATTTCCTGAATTGAATTTGGGGAGGTTTGTTGTTTGTCTATTAGTCTTGCATTTTATTTTACTGTATTTCATTCTACTCTAATTAAATTGTATTTTCCCTCTTCGCTGTTTTCAAACGTTCCTTTAATGAATTTCTCCATCACTTTGAATTGCCTGTGTGTGAAAGGTTTTATAAAAATAAGCTTTACTTGTATTGCTTGTTGAGGCATACATATACCACTTCAAGATGTGTTGAGACGAATGAATACAACTCTTGCTTTTCCTCTAATTTGCTGCATTGCTGTTACTATACAATTTATATCCCTTTCCTATTCTACGTACTGAATCTAAGCCCATTTTCTGGAGATTATCGAGAGCTATTTCATCAAAAGTTTAGAAAGTCAAAGAAAATGAAGCAGGGCGAGAGAGTCAGTAAACTGAAAAGTAAATTAAAGCATTTCACTACAAAATAATCTACTGTAGGAATGTGTAAAAGCGAGATTCCCCTTTAAATGTTTTCTCAGACACAAAAGCAACATTTCATTGGATTGTCCAACAACTGTTCTCAACTCACCTTGATCATTTTCTTTTATCCCCAGGTTCGAGAGCGAGACCTGCCGATGGTCATGCACACGCTGTCTTCCGAATTCACTTTGCTTCGGGTGGTCAATGGAGAGACGGTTGCTGCTCACGATCTGGGGGTCAGCAACGGCTTTGTGAAACCTAAACTTGGTAGGCATGAAAATAAAACATTTATATGTGTATTTTTGTATAGAGGCAAGGTTTTTAAGAATGATGACAAGCAGGAGGTGGCTAGAAACTGAGTATAGCGATAGTTCAGGCAGGACACAATGTCAAGCTCAGCTCACACCCCAGCTACATTAGCTGATCTCAAACAGCACAGTCAACTGATGGAGCAGCTGATTGATGGAAGGGAGTCAGCTGATAGATCACATGATTCCTTTCTATGCATCCAATTGGCAAATTTCATTCAGAGCGCTCTATTTAAACTGTTCTGGCCTGCCTACTGTTGCTGCTTCCTCTGCAAGCTGCTTTGCAACCTGCCTCCACCCCAGCTCCTCCTTTTCTTGCTGTGTCTGACTTTTCAATGTCATTTCTGTTTGTCATTGATGCTGCTCTGTTCTGTTACTGGGGGGTCTTTGCTGCTGCTCTCCCTGCCTTAGGCTTTCCATGTAGGCGCATGGAAGGGCAGAGATGTGTGCTCTTTCTGCCTTAAGGCTTTCTATGTAAGCACACAGAAGGGCGGAGAGGTGTGCTCTCTGCCTCAGGCTTTTAACGTAGGCATGTGAAAGAGGCTTTCTGTGTAGGCCCGAGGAAAGGCAGAGAGGCCCCAGAACAGAGCCATACCATCAAATATAATACTGCAAATGGAAATAAAGTTTTCTTTGACTAAAGTGGCCCTGACTGAACTAACAGCCACCAAAACAGTCTGAATATTTTCATAATATTTCAGAGTAAAGATGCACATTAAAACAGTTTTGGAAAATTTTGTTGGACTTATTTTGCTCTGCACGTGTCTACAGCTTTCAACACTAATGTGACATCTGTTAAACATCAAAATGTATGCTGAGAGATTTTTCAAAACGTATTTTACACTTCATTACTTATACAAGGATGATAATTCCTGAAGTCCCTCAACCTTGGAAGCAGTTTGACAAAACTATCTCAACTTCAGGATCAATTACTAGCTTGTTCTTGAGCTTTCAACAGACAATTTTCATCCTCTACAGTTGACATGTAGAGGTTCAAACTTTCCATTTTTCTGGAAACTTTTAGGACTTCTTGTTCGTGTTAGTTTTTAAGTTTAGCCTTAAGGTTAATTTTTTGACGCTGTACATAGCAGTTTTCAAAAATGTGATGACATTTAATGCTCATTTTTGCCATATAAACTGTTAATTAAGATGCTGCTTGGCTAAATTGCTGTCTCTGAGCCCTCATGTAAATGATCATTTTTGTTTTTCAGTGCCCCGTCCCATCATTCATCCCTTATCTAGTCCCAGCAACATGTTCTGTGTGACCAGCCTGGACCCAGACACACTGCCCTCTGTAGCCACCTTGCTCATGGATGTCATGTTTTACTCTGGAGGGTAAGAAAAGTAAAGCAGAATTATTTAGTGAATGAAAATGGAGGCTTATGGACATCTGTTAAGGGTGAGCTGTAGTATATTACCTACAATACCTGTGTAAACCGGCATATTTCAATAATCTGAGCACATACATTTTCTTGGATGAATCCTAATGACTTTGACGGCTGACATTATTGGTTTTCTGTGAAATGCTTTAACAACTATTGCATCAAATGCCTTTAAATTTGGTTCAGACATTACCATACCATACCATACCAACTTTATTTATAAAGAATTTTAAAAACCCAGTGGACCAAAGTGCTGTACACAATTAAACATAAAGTGTACAATAGGCATAAGACATAAAATATACATAAAACAAAGCAAAATAAAAACAATAAAGATAAAAACATAAAGTGCAATACATTAGTGTTCCCCACAAGATTAACTGTAATAATTTTGATGATCCCCTGACATTTAATGTAGCACCACTGACAGGTTAAAATTCATCCAAATACCTGCAAAACTAATGACATTGCCAGTGATGAAGTCATACGTTTGATTTGTGTTAAATGTATTATCTCGCCACGCCACAAGGAGGCTTATATTACTGGCCGAGGCAGGCCATGGTATTTAAATTCATACCAGTAAGCACAGGTGTTGCTGATGGTGAGAAGCAAACAGTTTTCGACTGTGCTGGATTAAGATTTGTATGGCGGTATTTATTGGAACTTTGTGTTGAAACTTACTGGACGTTATAGAAACATTACGGATAGTGGTGAGAAAATAGATGTGAGAGGATATACAGCATTGGTAAAGATTGGGAGTAGTTTCTGAGTACACGTCCAAAAGATTCAGCCAATTAGCAACCAGTAGCGGCTAAAGTGTAGGGCTAGTCACTACAGCCATCAACCGACTTTCAGCCAGTGTTAGCATGCTAATATGCTAAAACAAAATGCTGACAATGGTAAATAACCTCCTGAGACCCTGCGTCTTTATATGAGGACGTCATATTTTGGCTTTACTTGACCTTATACTTCATTCTACTTAACATCGACCTGTTGTCCTCATTCATGGACACTTTTTGTGCCATCTAGAGGTAGTAAAAGCACAATATACTAATCCATGTAAAAACAAGATGGCAGCCATCCGTGCCAAGTCAGTCTGCAGCCGATCCTGACACAAAAGTGGACAAGATCCAAAACCTGATCAGATTTTATGGTTGAAAGTTGTTTATTTATGATTAATAATGTTTGTAGTTTTAATATGGCAACACATTTGATCAATTTTAGCAACAGTAACAAATTAAGATGCTGCTAATTAGGAAGTACCCGTTTGAAGACATTGGGACTTTATTATCGTCTCGGTTGAGGATATTGGGACTTAATTATTGTCTCATATAAGGATATTGGGACTTTATTATCATTGACAATGTTTAGTTTGTATACTTATCAGGTCCTACTGATCCCAAATAGCTGGGAGAAATTAAAAATACATACCAAACAAAAGTTTCGGTCTCAGGATGACATTATAGCTACTGGTACCAGCATTTAAAGCATGTTAGTATGTAGACAATTGCATTTAACTCAGAGTAAAGTACTGTTAGCGTGGCCGTAGCCTAGGTAGGTTTTTTTTGTCTTCTGCTAGGTCTTGTTTGTGAATGTGTATGTATTTCGGGCCTGTGTGTATATGACAACAGTGAAAAAAAACTCTTCTCTCTCTTCTTAAAGTTTGTGTCATGACAAACACATAAACATGAGGTAGAAGGCTACAAAATCATCATTTATAGTGTTAATATTACACAAGAGGGTGTGCTTTACAGCAGGGCTAAAGCACCTGTGCCGAGAATAAACACCACACATATTAACACAAGACTGTCGAGCTCAGTCTGGTTGTTACTAAGATATCTGCTGAAAAAAATAGTCTTTCTGTGAAGAGATTTAGCCGCTGCATCGGCTATTTTTAAGATACTGCTGTGTCATTGAGTCACTGGCAGCTGATGTGATTCAAACATTTCCATTAACACTTAACTCCAGAGTGAATTTATTGAAAAAAGATAGATGTAATAGTTTCAACAATTCACAACATGTTTTAATCTAACAAAATATTGTGCTTTAATCCACATTTGTCAGCATTTAGGCTTCTCAAAACAGTTTGCTGCAAAAAAGGGAGGCACGCGCCTGTATTAACGAGGTGGTTTAATCCAGGTTTTAATGATGAGGATGGTGTGCTTTAATGCTGAATTGATCACACCCAAAATGTCTCGCTAACCAGTCAGATTGCTGGTCAGATCTACTTGTTGTATAATAAACAATACATGACATTCCCATCATCACTTGTTGACCTCTCAGGTTGTTTGACACCCACCTCTTAGTTGTTGTAAGGACACAAATGAAAATGTGTGAAAGCTAACTGGACATGACTATGAGTGTAAGGTCGTTATAGGTGTGAGAGTACCAGAGTGTGATTCTGCATCACCAGTGCGACCACGTTAAATGACATGCCTTTCTCTCCAGGCCGAAGGAGCCCGGCGCATCCAGCGAGGACTCCAACCACATCCGCTTCTTCTCCTTCTCCCTGATCGAGGGCTACATCTCTCTGGTCATGGACGAACAGACAACTCAAAGGTGGAGTAGCCAAAAAACACCTGTTACACAAAGGCATATTACTGATGTTGCTGCTGCTGCCTAATTAACCTTAAGATGTTGTTTTCTTTTAGTCAGTCAGACTTGGACATTATGTTTATGCAGGGGGAACAAATGTATGATTGTTGTTTGAGGGGGCGATGAGTTTGTTGCTAAGCAATAGCCGAGCAGTTGAGCATATACAATGTACTTAAGTCACAGTGGGTTTCAGTCTGACTCATTTATTCTCCGCTGCGTCCCCCTCTTTCTCACAGAATACTCTCTAATTAAGCAGAAAGGCCATAAAGAAACCTGAGCAGCTGCAGATCCCATGTGGCAGCTCCTCCTCTATTAGAGCCACGCCTGATCAGAGATTGTCCATTCATAAATGAGGTGTCCTTTATATGGGTCAGGAATGTCTTTAAGCCATGTGGAGGTAAAATAATAATTGGACCTAAGTTTCATTATGTTTCTTAAAGTTCATATTTTGCTTCTGCAGCATGTAGGTCAGCCTCATCCCCACGTTTACATAAGACCTAATGTGCTGCCTTAAAGGAATAGGTAACCCATTTTACTCCACTTTACAATGGCTCTCTTGTTCCGTGCGGCCGGCTGAACAGCACCAACATAACTCACCTGCTGATGTCCATCTGAGTGGTTAATAGTTAGCTTCTTCTGCTGCGGCTCCACACAGTATCTGCTCTCTGTGCCAGGTGGCTGCCATTTGTTAACTAGAGCAAAACAACAAGTGATTTAAAGTGGAGGGAGCGTCTTTAAGATCCATATAAAACTGATGATTTAACATTTTAAAAATTTAAGGATTAAAGTCCAACTAAAATTATTTTTTTCGCTGCAGCGCACAAATCTGCTCTGTTAATTACATTTCCTGTGAGAGAATTATATACTGCTGGTGACATTATAGAGCTGTCTGTGCAATAATCACTCAAAACGCCACAATTACCTATCTTCATACAGTTGCATGTAAAGGTTTGAGCACCCCTGATCAAAATTTGCATGCACTGTTCTTCTGAGGTCAGTCCATAGGTTTTCAATATTGCTTAGGTCAGGGGACTGTGAGGGCCTCGGCAAAACCTTCAACTTGTGCCTCTTGAGGTAGTCCATTGTGGATTTGGAGGTGTGTTTAGGATCATTGTCCTGTTGTAGAAACCGTCCTCTCTTCATCTTCAGCTTATTACAGATGCTGTGATGTTTGCTTCCAGAATATTCTGAAATTTAACCAGATCCATCCTTGGTGTGCCACTGGCTGCAACACAAGCCCAAAGCATGATCAATCCACCCCTGTGTTTAACAGTTGGACAGGTGTCCCTTTTTTCTCCAAACATACCTTTGTTCACTGCGCCCAAAAAGTTCTATTTTAACTTCATCAGTCCACAGGACTTGTTTCCAAAAAGCATCAGGTTTGTTAAGACTTCTGATGTTGAATTTTGTGGTGAGGACACAGGAAAGGTTTTCTTCTGATGACTCTTCCATGAAGGTCGTATTTGTACAGGTGTGGCTGCACAGTACAACAGTGCACCACCACTCCAGAGTCTGATAAATCTTCCTGCAGGTCTTTTGCAGTCAGACAGGAGTTTTGATGTGCCTTTCTAACAATCCTACAAGCAGCTCTCTCGGAAAGTTGCCTTGGCCTTCCAGACCTCAGCTTGACCTCCACAGTTCCTGTTAACTGCCATTTCTTAATGGCATCACAAACTGAGGAAACAGCTCCCTGAAAACACTTTGCTATCTTCTTATAGTCATCTCCTGCTTTGTGGGAAACAGTTATTTTAATTTTCAGAGTGCAAGGCAGCTGTTTAGAGGAGCCCATGGCTGCTGATTGTTGGGACAAGGTTTCAGGAGTCAGAGTATTTATAAAGCTTTGAAATTTGCATCACCTGGCCTTTCCTAACGATGACTGTGAACAAGCCAGAGTCCTAACAAGCTCATTAAGGTCTGAGACCCTGGGAAAAGTTGTCTGTGAGCTCAAATGTCTTGGGATGGCCAAACCTTTTGCATGGTTGGTTCTCCTTACCTTATTTTTCCACTCTAAAAATGTACAAAACAAAAATTAATACAGTAATCTTGCCTAAAATGTTGAAAAGCGTGTACCATCTTTTACTCACTTACCTATTCACAGTTAAAGAAATTTTGACCAGGGGTGCCCAAACTTCTCCATGCCACTGTAGACAGAGAAATCCTTTGAAAACAAACACTGAAACAAATTTGTTTGAGTTTTCTGTAGTTTTAAAGCAGTATCATCACAACTTGTTGAACAAGCTCAAGCTGTATTCCACCCCATAAACCAAACTGTTTGTACTATTATATTTAAATTCAAAATATAAATTGACCTGTAATCTGATCATTTCTTTGCACTCTATTCTCTTCAAGGTTTCCAAACAACGTCCTCTTCACCAGTGCTTCTGGTGAGCTTTGGAAAATGGTTCGCATCGGGGGACAACCTTTAGGATTTGGTGAGATTTATTTTATTTAATTTTCTATTCTTTGCTATAAGCAGGGTTCCTACAGTCATAGAAAAACTGGAAAAGTCATGGAATTTCACAATCATGTTTTCCATGCCTGCAAAGTCTTGGAATTTTGTTGTGTGTAATAAAATGAATGGTTACAATAATCTTCCACATAATTTATTTTCACTTGCAGTTGACATAATGTAGCTCTAATATGTGTATTTGCAATGTTTGGGGTCTAGTTTGGCATCACTTCCACCCGGCCATATAATGATATACTTAACAGTTGTAGTATTAAATATTAACCCATCTCCAACACAGTGTATGCTATTGGTTCAGGATGATAAATGTACTTCTCTCAGCAGCAGTTAGCTGTCAGGATCAGAGTCGTTGTGTTGAATCTTAAAACGTCTGTCAACTTACGTGTTCAGCAGCTGTTGATTGATGCTGCCTGCCTGCGTGATCCAAACAAGCAGCTAACGCAGTAATACAAACAGAAATTAGTGTATGATTTTATGTTTAAACTGTTGCAACCAGTACATATTTTTCCAAAAAGAAAGATACAAATGATGCTGTGTTTTTCAATAAATAGTGTTAAATAACATCAAGTTAAAAATCAGTTCAAAAGAACACATTTGGAGCATGTTGGGTGGTGTTGATGAAGTGGTGAAGTGATGATGCATAAAGTGTTCACGACATCAAATTGTTAACATGGCAAAGTTTTTTTTTGTTTTTTTTTTTTCACAGATGAGTGCGGCATCGTGGCTCAAATATCAGAACCCTTGGCAACAGCTGACATTCCAGCTTACTACATTAGTACCTTCAAGTTTGACCACGCCCTGGTAAGACAAAAACCTCTCAATGCAGTTGTTTTTATTCAGTGCTGTGTATGCGCTGTCGAGCTGCAACAATTAGTCCATTAATCTATTAGTTGATGACTGAAAGTAACTATTCTGATAACTGATGAATCATTTTTCAAGCAGAAATGCCAAACATTTGATGGTTTCAGGTTCTCAAATATGAGGAATTCGCGGAATTTTGTTGTCTTATGTTGCAATAAATTCAATATTTTTGGATTTTGGACTGTTGGTTAGATACAAAAGGACATTTAAAGGACACCACTTTGAGCTCTAGAAAATGGAGATGACAATCTTTCAATGTTTTCTGTTGTTTTTCAGACCAAACGATTAATAGATTAATTAAATTTATGAGGGCTTTTCACACTGTGCGTTCTGAGAGCAGAATTAGGCAAAGGCAGCGGAAACTTACTTCCGGTTCTCTGCGGCTCCCATTGAGAAAAACTACTGTTGCCACTCCCATCGACAAACGGGAACTGCCCATTGGTCCGACAGCCCATTGGTCCGACATCCCATTGTTCCGACCATATTAAACCCATTGTTCCAAAGTCCCGTTGTTCCAAAATCATCATGATGCCCTGTGGTTAAGGTCTGGTTAGGTTTAGGCACAAAAACCACTTGCTCCTGGTACCCCCAGGTACTGACAGTCAGGTGCCTGATTGGTATGTGATTGTCAGGTGCCAATCAGGTTGCGGCATTAAAAAAAACAAGTTGCGGCACATCCAAGCGCTACTGAGGCTCCTGTTTGTTAAATGAATAAATTGTTAAATTGACAATAAAGACTTGTTTCTTCATACTTCAATCATCCAATCCACCAAACAAGAGTCAACAGCAAAAAAAAAGCTGTTTGGCATTGGCAGAAAAGATTTGGCAAATTTTTCATGGGTGCAACCCACATACTCAGCTCTGCTGCTCATCCCACAAATGCATGTTCCTTACAAATGTGGCACCATTTAAAATAAACAGGTTCTCCAATGGTGTAAGATTTATTGCCAAGAAGCATTGTTACAACAAAGAAATAATCTACCAAACACAAATTTCCTTACTTTTTGTGCTTAGTTTATTCTGCTGTCAGATTGTTTTAAAGCCTGGTGTCTCCTCCAGGTTCCCGAAGAAAACATCCAAAGTGTGATCGGAGCTCTGCGGACCAAGAGCACGGCACAGTGAAGGAAGCCGGAGGAAAAACAATGACCATTTTCAAAGTCATTTCGTTCAAACGTTTATCATGTCCAAAAAGTGCCAAGAGCTTATTTAGCGGACTACTGTGGATCGGCTCTGAAAGGAAGGGATCTAACCACGAAGCGTGGGTGGAGTACAGGGGGGGGAGTGTGAGTGTGTGTTAGGGATGCCTTTGTTACTCGATCATTTTCTTTGCCCCCACCCCTCCTTCCTTCCCCTGGCACTCGAGACCCTCCACTGCCTGCTCTGGTAGTTGTTGCTTTAGTTTACCAGACTGAATATGTTTCTTTTCCTCTCTAAAGCTGCTTCTTCCCACTCCCTGACCTTCATGAGCACCATACTGTATTAGTTACATAATTCCTCTAGTGGAAGGATGACGAATGTACTCTCAAAAACAAAATATATAAAAGCTCTCCATATTTTTATTTTATTTTCCACAGTTCATTTCTCAGTGCCAAGATGTTTGAATGCCTAAACTGATGCCTTTGTCAAAATACTATACATGTGTGCAATTGTAGGAGACAATTCTTTGAGACTGCCAGCGATGACGCAGCACCTGATTGAGTTATATGGTGTTTTTCTGTTGTTGTTTTTTGCTTTTAGCAGCTGTTGAACATCTTTTAATTAGAGCAATGATCTGACTGTCGGAGTCCATTGTTATATTCAGACGCTTGATCTGGTGGAACATGAAGTGAATCCAACATCTCGATGAGGAGATGATCATTTAAGTGTTTTAAAAAGTCACAAGCATTCACACTGTGAGCAAACTGGTTGATGGGTCACTGGAAATTAGCAGAATTCATCGACATATTTAACATAATTTAACGGATTCTTTGGTTCGCAAGCACAATTTATGTGGCATTTAAGGCTTCAGAGTAGCTCTTGAGAATCACAAGTTTATATATTGCTAAACTGAAATTCAGCAACAATAACTTTGATATTTGGATAATAATTGCAATGGTTCCTTTTCTCAGTTTTATACTATAAGCTGAACACCTTTGGATTTTTTAGTGGTCAAACTACACTAAATATATTTGCCTCTGGTAGCTTATTTTTTCGAGACATTCAAAGTCTCCAGAGGAGGAATCACACTGACGTTTATGATCCCTGACTTTTCATGTAGCAGCACCAGCAGGTCAAAGTGGATCACGTATTCAAAAATATCTCAACATCTACGTATTGGCACAAAATTTGCTGCAGACACTCCACAACAATGTATCCTAATGGTTTTGACTTTTCATGTAGCGCCATCATCAGGACAGAATTTGAATTTATCAATCAAATACCTTCAAAACTAATAAAGTCTGATGAGCCTCAGCTCAGCTTTGTTTTTAGTAATAATTAGCACATGGCTGAACATGGTCAACATAACCTGCTAAAGCACGTTAACATTGTCATGGTGAGCATGTTTCCACCATCAGATCACAACAGATTGAATACACCTGTTGTGTATAAATACAGCAGAGGTCACATTGTTCTGTCACATAATGAAACACCAGCTATCACACACAAAAAAATGTTAATATTGTGTAAAAAGTATGGAGAGAAAAAAGACCATTTATGTTATGCTAATGCTTTCCTATCGATAGGCACGATACAAAATGTTGCTTACAAAAAGAGTCTAGAATCCATTTCTGAATTCAGATGCAGACATTAGCATTTAAAAATCCAATAGTTTCCAATAGTTTCAATTGGCAGTCGATAAATACCAGTTTTCAGGCATCAAAGCTTCATTGAGAAATATCTGCAGTTAATCAAAGCTTCAACAGGTGGGAGGTGGGTGGATGAGAGATGAGGACATATGTTGGACATATTTGAATCAGTAGTTTTCAGTCAAAATTTACTACACCTAAAATAATTTTGTAACATCAGCCATAACTTTTGAAACTATTGCAGACACTTGACTTTTTTAACATCTTGCTGGAGTATCTGTGAGCCTGACACATGTGGTCAAAGTGTCCTGGACTGTTGGTGACTGATGTAAGATGAGAGCAAGACACAAAACTATCACAAAGTTTAAGTGTCCTTATCTGAGGATAACTAATTTTGATTTACGTTAATGCATAATGACATGCAGCGATTAACCTGGAAACGATTGAAACATTGGGATCAACCTGTACATACATTTGATTATTACGCTTATTTACTTTCTCTCTGAGAGTTAGAGGAGAGGATCGTCACCATTCTCTTCTCTGTGCGTTCCGTAAGGCACTGGAGCTACGAGGCAGTTAGCTTAGCTTAGCATAAAGACTAGGAACAGGGGAAACAGTTAGCCTGGCTCTGTCCAAAGTTTACACGTTACCAATTAACATAGGTGGGGCAAAGTTACAGTTAAGTCTCAACTTTTGGCACTCAAGTCCCAAGTGAAGACTGACCTGTCCCAAGTCAAGTCCCAAGTCCCAAACTTTGAGTTTTGAGTCCTAAACAAGTCATATGGTGCTCTTCACCAAATGTAATGCCATTTTAACATCAGAGTAATGATAAATATTAAATTTACAAAACTCATGAATGCTTTTTAAAATTTGTATTTGTTAAAACAACAAGAAAATAGTACTGTCATAGAATACAGCACTATTAACCATTGTATTTTTGTCTTGTATTTAGCTCATATCATATTGGAAAAATGTCCATAATTTCCCACATTGGTTTGGGGGAAGGTATCGAGTATTTTTAAGTTAAAGTCTCAGGTCCAAGTGACGAGTCGAGGTGTATAAGTCCAAGTTGAGGTGCAAATCTCTTTTGATTTTGTCAAGTTGAGTCCAAAGTCATGAAATTTCTGACATGAGTCACCACCTCTGCAAAATAACATGCTGTATCTTGTTTGTTTGATTGGAAAATATCAGAAATGTCAAAAAATCAACACGTAGTTTTGTTCTCTACTGTATATTTGATCGTTTTCTGGTCCCTTCCGATGACTCAACGATCACGTTGCTCACAGTGTGAAGCTGCAATAAGACCTGCTAAAAATGCAATGATAAAAAATGTTTGCATCTACAGAAGTAATAAATTACTGAGCCACTTTGACAATGTACAATAAAAATAATGACATAAACATAAGCTATGGTTCACACAGGGAAGGAGCCCTGGTGTCCATGTAGGTGTTGAAGCTGCCCCTCCCCTGCCCCAGTCTGCACTTTAATGCAGGTTCCACCCCCACAGGCCTGCTGTACTGATGTGAAAATGGGGGAGGGCTATTTACTGTAGAGAGATCCTGTCCAGGAGATTTCTGTTGGTCTTAAACATTTGGTGATTATGTTTTTCTTTCTTATTTGTTGTTTTCACGCCACCTTGCACCTAACAACAGCCTCTCTTCTGATCAGATGTGATTAGTAGACACCCTGTATTTATCAGTGTTAAAACAGGAGGAAGGTGACATTTCTTCTTAATCCATTTCAAAGAAAAAAAGTTGAAAGCTTTTCATTTGGAGCTTCTTGTGTGGAAAAAATAAACAAGCTTTTCTTTGTTTTTGGAGCTTGTTGCGTGTTCAGTTTTCATCAATGTGTCATTATTACTGTCCTTGCTTATCCCCGGGGATTGTCCTCTCACTGTCATATGCTCCCAATGTGTACTTTAATCAATAAACTGGTGACATCTCTGCCCAAAGTGGTCGTCAGAGCCTCCAGATTAACTATAAATCAGATTTCTATGAGTATTTTGACATGAAAATGGGAAAATAATACGCTACAGTTTAACAAGAAGTCATCCTTGAGTAGAGTGCAAATGCATGAACAGGATATTAATATCATCGGCTAATGAGGAGTACTGGATGTACAGTAAGGGAACAGAATAGTACATGCAGCAGGGACACAACCTGGAAAAACAAGCGCGACACAAACCTGAAGTGAAGCATGTCATCTGGTGCTTACAATAACCCGCCGAGCACAAACAGCAGCGGTGAAGACTTTCTCTGACAGTGTTTGTTACATTACTACTTCATCAGTTCAACAACAGTTTGTTTTCTCTGAGAGGAAAGACACTTTAAAAAACCCTCTGAGCACAAAGTGGCAGGCAGGGAAAATAAGCATCTGAAAAATAGAGCTGGTGTTTTTCCTCATTAAAAAAAAGCTGGTTAGATATATACGTACCTTTTGAAAAACTACACTAAGCATAATGAAATGTAAAACTAGGCATCCATTTTCAGCCACTTATGTGAAGCCGGGTTGTGGGGGCAGCAGGCCGAGCAAAGCAATCCAGATTTCCTTCCCCCCAGCACCCATATTTTAAGACACCACAGATTCAAAGTAAGTAAAAGAAAATACAACCTCAAGATGTTGGCAAGAATGTGGCAAGCAGACAGTGAACCATCCATCCATCCATTTTCATCCACTTATCTGGGCCAAGTCGCAGGGGCAGTAGGCCAAGCAAAGCACTCCAGACGTCCCTCTCCCCATCAACGCTTTCCAGCTCCTCCTGGGGGACCCAAAGGTGTTCCCAGGCCAGATGAGATATGTAATCCCTCCAGCATGTTCTGGGTCTGCCCCGGGGCCTCCTACCAGTTGGATGTGTCCGAAACACCTCTAACAGGAGGCGCCCAGGAGGATCCTGATCAGATGCTCGAACCACCTCAACTGACCCCTTTCGACATGAAGGAGCAGTGGCTATACTCCGAGCTCCCTCTGGATGTCCAAGCTTCATACCCTATCTCTAAGGCTGAGCCCAGACACCCCACGGAGGAAACTCATTTCGGCTGCTTGTATCCGTGATCTCATTCTTTCAGTCACTACCCAGAGCTCATGACCACAGGTGAGGCTTGAGACAAAGATGGACCAGTAAATCAAAAGCTTTGCATTCCGGCTCAGCTCCCTCTTCACCATGACGGTCCAGCACAGCGCCTGCATCACTGCAGATGCAGCACCAAACCGCAATCCATCTCACGCTCCATTCTACCCTCACTCATGAACAAGACCCTGAGATACTTGAACTTGAAGAATGACATCGCGGATACAAGAGGCCTGAAATGAGATTGCTCCGTAGGGTACCTGGGCTCAGCCTTAGAGATAGGGTGAGGAGCTCGGACATCTGGAGGGAGCTCGGAGTAGAGCCGCTGCTCCTCATGTCGAAAGGGGTCAGTTGAGGTAGTTCGAGCATCTGATCAGGATCCTCCTGGGTACCTCCTGTTAGAGGTGTTTGGGGCACGTCCCACTGGTAGGAGGCCCCGGGGCAGACCCAGAACACACTGGAGGGATTACATATCTCATTTGGCCTGGGAACACCTTGGGGTCCTCCAGAAGGAGCTGGAAAGTGTTGATGGGGAGAGGGACGTCGGGAATGCTTTGCTCGGCCTGTTGCCCCCTGGATAAGCAGTTGAAAATGGATGGTTAGAATTGTAATTTGCTTTGTCAATAAGTCATAACTAAAAATTACTAACTGCTTTGCAAAAGTTAAAAAGCCTTTAATGTATAGGCTTCGCGCCTATGCATTTCATCATCAGGGCATGAGGGACATGTCCTGATGAGTGAACTAAACTGAGCGTGGGTGTTTTTTATTGCTTACATTTGTGAATTGCAGTATTTGTGCCATTTACTCTTTCAAAAGTTGTATATAGTGTCACTTAAATGCTCATCTGCACTTTATCTGTAACGTGCATACGAACACAACCAAATCAATCATAATCTCCCTCATTCTGAGAAACACGTCCATATTACAAGGTGTAACTGAAGCCTTTTGGGGGCGTCAATGGGGTCGTACAGCTGTAGTTTTAATTCAAAATACAACTTCATGTGGAAAAACAAAATCTGTTTTGCACACACACGCCTGTCCCTCTGTTGGTCTCTCTACCATGGAGCTCCAGTGATTCCCTTCCTCCACTCAGAGCCTGCAGCTGATGTGACAGCAGGAGAGACTGCAGGTATATCAGTTGTCTGTATTATTTGACCTGAGTAAACACAGCAGAGAACAGCCAGGTCCTTGTAGCCTCCACACGTCACCTTTTCTCTGCCTCAGCTCACTTCAGCACAGAGGAGGAGGAGGAGGAGGAGGTGGTGGAGGAGGTGGTGGTGAGGGAGGGCTGCTCCAGCTGCAGAAACCCTCTCTACAGAGCAGGGTTAAAGGAGAGGACATGGTCTGTTAGTGTTTTCCCTCATCATGATCATCTTTCTCCTTACGTAATCCCCTACAGTTCAGCTCTGCGGCTCACTGATGTGTCAGTAAAGGCTTGTGCTCACCTGCAGGGGTGTAAGTAACTAATTAATTTTACTCTTGTCATTGTTTAGATGTTTCTTTGGTGTATGTGTTTAATTTATTGACTAATTATCTTGGTATACTTGTACTTTACTAGAGTATGTATGTCCCTTCTATGTTTCTATGCCTCGACTCCACTACAGTTCAGAGGGAAGTGTTGTAGGGGAGACCGGGGTTGGTTGTCACACGGACTGGTTGTCACAGTGCTTATTACAGCCACATGAGGGTGCTGTGACATAAGCCCCTTTTACACTGCCAGATTTTCTGCGAATGTTGGGCTGTTTTGGCGGCAAGCTGCGAACGTTTAGACACTCCTGCTCATTTTGCACTGGTCATTTTGTGGAACACACACAAACATTGAGGTGAGGAGATTTTTTGTGATATTCATGGGTCAGTAGGTCTGATGCTGGTGTTGTTGTTATATTAAAAGCTTGTAGTTTATTAGTCATATTAGTCATAAGTTTTAGCTAGCAAGCTAAAGCCATAGTAACTAGTTTAAAATATTTGTCAAGAGGTCAGTTGTGGACGGCTGTCACATCATTAGAAAACAACATTGTATCTAAACACTTTCATACTTCACCCTATTTGACATTTTAATAAAAGTTCCTGGTCATCTTGTGATGGAGATGAATCTATTCCAGTCTCACTGTTTCATTTAATGTTATATTCATAATGAATTGCTATGAAACAACGGCTTTAATAATGGCCTTTTTTTTTCTTCAGCACTGTAAATTCGTTAATTTTACTTCTCATGACAGAGGATAGCTCAATCAATCACCTGGTTCAAATTCATGGTTTAACCTCCTGAGACCAGAACTTTTGGGTAACACTTCATAAGACAGCCCGCATTTTAGAGTGTACCTCTCGCCCACTTTCTCGGGAGTTAGCGTATAACTCCCGAGAACTTACATGTACTTTCCCGGGAGTTAGAGCATAATTCCTCCCGGTCACTTAACATATACTTTCCAGGGAGTCAGAGTATAACTCGCGGTCACTTAGCATATTCTTTCCCAGGATTTAGAGCATAATTCCTCCCGGTCACTTACCGCATACTTTCCCAGGAGTTAGAGTATAACGACGCGGTCACTTGGCACATACTTCTCCGGGAGTTAGAGTATAACTCACGGTCACTTAGCACATACTTCCCCGGGAGTTAGAGTATAACTCACGGTCACTTAGCATATACTTCCCCGGGATTTAGGGTATAACTCCTCCCGGTCACTTACCACATACTTCCCCGGGAGTTAGAGTAGTATGTGCTAAGTGACCGCGAGGGATACTCTAACTCCCGGGAGTGTAAAATGAAAGGAATACACATTTCAAGCCATGACCTTATGCTTTCATTTAATGAAAGATGCTTTGATGATGAGCAATTCACACAAGAGTAAAAACTGTGACAACCAACCCTGGATCCCCTACTTTTTACCCCAAAACATGTGTTTGACGCTTAGTTTTTACATCAAAAACATACTTATATAATATGATGCATACTACGAATCCACCCAGTAATATGCAAAGTATTTAAAATTGGCTCCACATTGATGTTTTACAACATTAAACTGCTCTTACATGTACCTGTTAGTGACAAAACAAAATAATATTCTATAATATTGTGAAGATCATTCTGCTCAATGAGTACTTTTGATACTTTAAGTGCATTTTGCTGATAATACTTGTGTAATTTCACTTAAATAATATGTTAAATTCAGGACTTTTACTTGGCTTGACTTTAGTTGTATTTTTTCTTGTACCTAAGGAAAATATCTCTTTACAGTAACTGCACTTCTATTTAAAGTAAAATATTCCTTCCACCCCTGCTTATCTCGCAGTTCCCACTCACTGCAATTAAAGTAAGAAGTTAAAAGTCAAGTGGAGCTGCAAACACACAAGAACATCTCATCACGGCTAATTAAAATGCACCACTTTGCCCTGCTCCATCGATTTGCATTCTGTTGAGCTGGGAGGTCACTGGTGGGAAATCTCCACCCACACGGACATGACAAATCAAAACTTTACGAGTCAGATATAAACAGCAATGAGTCAGCACTTCTTCCAAACAAAGCTGGATATCAACAATAACACATCTTCATGTATCACACACAGTTTACTGTTGTCTCCTCACTGGATTGATGGGTCTTAGATTTGTTTTACTGAAATATACAGTGCTAGCGAGTAAGCTAACAACCACATATTGTAGCTGGGCAAAGAAAAAACTAAACTATATCTGCACTATAGCTCTCTCTTAATATTCCTAATATTTAATCAGCTGATCTGTGCAAGCAGTTCCTGTT